AAAAAGTTAATCTTTCTTAGCATATATATTGAAACTAACATAGAGCATGATCTACACCAAAGGAGAAATTTCACTATCTATGGATTTTCCCATTACTAAATGGCCAAAAGAAAAAATTTGACTAAAAATAATATATATAAGTATAATAAAATCAAATACAAGTGTTAAGATATTATTTAATCAATATAATTAATGTAATATTTTATATAAAAATTTAAATAAAATAATATTTTCATTATATAGTGTTAATTTTATACATATATGTGTGTGTTAAATTAATATATAAGGATGAAACAATTACATAAGTATGTGCAATATACATACAATAATTTTGTAAATGTAAATATATAACTAAGTTGTTAGTCAAACAACTACAACTATCTATACAAATCTATCACAAATATATAGTCATCAAAAACATCTAGCCCCCTAACACCACTATATGGCCTTCACTACAACACTCCAGTTCTATCCCAACCCTGCTTTTATATCATGTATAATCATTGTAGTCTAAACCACATGAAAACACGCAAGAGTAAACTAGAGAAAAAAGAAACAATATATATACTTATTCTTGAATTAATGACATTAAGTATCAAATGATTTTCAAATTTTTTAAAAAATTTGCAGACTTGATCTATGCATTAAGAGCTTTAAATTTAATGGTTGAATCGTTAAAATTTGATGTAGAAGATGAGTTATTCAACAAAGTAAGTCTAGGTACACTTATTCTTGAAGTAAATGGATCTCTCCTTATGTGTGTGTGTGTGTGTATATATATATATATATATATATATATATATATAACATGAGAACATCAACACTCTTAGTACATCATCACATCATCATCTTACCTCCAACACTGCTAACACAAGACATCACAGTATACAACCCATATTAGCACAACAACTCAATTTACCACCACACAATATCAACTTAACATCACAACATTCTCAACACAGGTTAATCATCACAACAACACAGTATTTTCAACACGATAAGTTCATGCGTCATCACACATTTCAACTAAGAGATTTCCTACAACACAAGGTGAGTAATTTAAGTGATTTGACCCTACCGAATTGACAACACAAGGTAATCTTTTTGAACTTGCTAGATTAACTACAAATTAGATCTAAATTTATAACACAACAACTTGGTTTCTCAGGTGCCGCCACTTAAACAAGCAAGTTTAGAACCAGTATTAGGGTATAATAGCTGGGTTTTAGGCTTACTACGACATTAGCTAGCTTAATCATGTCACCGTGGAATTAGCCTATCGACTACTCTCATAGTACCATGCTCTTCCAATACTTGGTTAGGAACTAAGTTTCTAACTTTGTACTTTACTCAATTTGGTCGCTTTATACATGTGTGTCTCGACCTTGTCCATACACAGTACCAACAAAGTCCTAGAGGACGCTCAACACAATTATTCGCTTTAAAGGTCAACTTCCCAAGAAGTATTTTAAACAAATTTGACTCTCGGAGTACCACAATACAATATCCACACTATGAGATATGCAACTTTCAAAAATTTCTCCTCTAATCCTAAGTGGTCATAACAGCTCAACAACACAACAACTTTTTATATATTCAACAAACAACAAAATCAACATACAACTCCACACCTCACAACTCCATCATCATTACTCATATTCAACTTCTTACTCATCATACATCTTAACAACACATCAACATTGTGTATATAAAATCCTGAAACAACTACACAACATATTACTCAACTCAAGTTTCAACTAACAACTCATAACATAATCATCAACATACAACTTATCAACATTCAACATTTAAAGCTCCTTATCATACAACAACATCCCTACAATTTATTCATCATCATTTAATCATAAAACAACTCAAACAACAAGCTTTCAACATATAACTCATTCATTAAGCAAGCAACCAACTCAATTAGAAAAGAAATTTATTTAACAAAGTCCCCACACTCAATGCAAAATCTCACGCTAAGTCTCAGCCTTCCAAAGGCACATCTCAACTCTCACACTCAATGTGAAACTCTGGTTCGGCTTGAAATTCACACTTAGCCTCTCTCACGCTCAATGCAGAATCTCATGCTACACCTCAACCTTCTAAAGGCACTTCCCAATTCTCGAGCTCTACGTGAAACTCACACTCAACCCCAAAACTCATATTTTTCAGCATTAATGAAGAACATCCCAAATCTCTATTTTCTCTTAACTAATGCAATAATCAAGGTGTGCAACCCCAAAGTCTTCCATTTCTAACAACATACAACTCATAAAATTATAAGAAAAGCAACATGCATCAACCACAACTCAAAGAAATCATCAACATTTTAACCTTTCATCAAGAACATCACAAACTCAATTTCAACATGCAAACCACTTCAAATCCATCCCACAGCTACAATAATATTCCGTAGATAATAACAATTTTTCTTGTAGTGATAGTGTGTGACACACGACAAATTTAAGTCAGTTTTTTTATCCATTGCAAATGCGAAACTAGGTTTGTATAGATAATAGAATCATTTGCATGAATGGAGACATACAGGAAAAATACTCCAACCTCTCATGTACTACTTGTTCATTAATGTTCTACAACATAGCATTGTGTTAGCTAGGTGACAATTAGAGACCTACGTTAACATCTAACATGGAAGAACATGCATGTGGTGGATTACACTATTTTCTAAGTCATGTAGGTCATTATTAATTTCTTTTATTTTCTTTGTTGCTTTTCCATAAGACATTGGTGTAATTGCACTTGTGTTATGCCCCATGTTGCAGCATGTTGCAGCAAAGGTGTTAAATGTTTAGTTTTTTGTGCATTTCACTTGTTAAGGTGAAAGAAAAAACAAAATATAAAAATGATAAAATAATAAGTTTTTTTTATCATGTGGCGAAATTGCATCAAAGCAATAAATAATTTTTTTTATAATTAATTAGTTTGAAAAGTCTTAAATTGGTGAAAAAGTCAAGTTTTACCTTGTATGAACTATTGTTTCACTCAAGCAAGATATCATTTGACTCATTCGTTCTTGAAAATCCAACTCACACATGATTTAAACATCCTTCACTCCTAAGAATGGAATTTTGGACTGATTACTCATCAATTCCACAATCAATTTCTCATAGATGGTTAATAGTATAGAGTGCATACGAGTGGCATGATAATGGAATCTTGAATTTGTTTTACTTGATAAAATAGTTGTAATTTGAAAATCATTTTTTAACTAGCCAAGTACTTCATACGTACTAAATTATTAATTTCTTACACATGAAACGTGAGAGTTGAGACTCGTGTATCATCATAACATCCCATGATTGTTACAAGGGTTGTGTATTAGTTGCTTTTGTATAATTATAGATGACACTTGGTGGATGTGTTATTATATTAGCAACCTAGCTGGTACGTTTCATTATGAAATATTTTCTTGAGAACGAAGGGAAGGTATAAGGAAAGAGAGAGTGAGGCCAAAAACTAATAGTAGAACAACATCTCAACGTCATTTTATTTGTTTTTTAATTATGTTATAAGTGTAAAATATCGACTAATTTTATCGATAACTAATTTTTTTTAAGAGTTTAATCACTTTGATGAGATTTTTCCTTTGATTATATTTTTTTATCTATAAAATTTAAACTCAAAACTTTAATTAAGAAAATTGAGTCTAATTCCACTTAAAGAAATAGTTTTGATTTTATTTGTTTGGGTGCCTTTTTCAACCTTATCAACTTAATTAATCCCACTTTTCATCTCTTTTCATATTCCCACTCTCTTGCTCCCACACTTTTTTTAATGTTAATTAATAAAATCTCTCATGGCTTTTTCTTAATTCTTCGTTTGGAAATTGCTTCAATCTCTTTCTCTTCATAAAGTTTAGGAGCCACGAGAGCAATGATTGTGGAAATAAACACACCATGCTCCCACTAACTCTCTATTCCCTTGCACCCTACAAGCCCTAGCAAGTATAGACACGTAGGAGAGGAAAGTTTGACAATTGAAGTGAGTGAACGACCCATTTTTAATTTGTGTTTATATTTCTTTTGCTTTGTCAATCAAGTCAGCTTCCATAACCATAAATGACACGAGCAACCATAGATTCCTATTCATCTTGCTTTTATAATTCAAGCATACCACTTATGCTTTTAATTAAAAACTTGAAACTGCATATACCACTATACTAATGCATTATTTTTGGCCACCCCATTTCCATGCTAGAATTTTTCCCCCTCCTAAAAGCATAAATAATGTGAAAATTTTAAAAAAAAAATAATTCCAACCTTTTTTTTCTCTTGCAAGTTAAAAAATTGTATTTCACAGTTGGAAAATCCCCAATATTATGCGTGTTTATTTCAGAGTTACTAATCTACATCACAGAGGTATTGAGTTACTTTTTTACTGATTCACATCTAAGAGGCAACTGATGGATGCATTAGCAAACACACATACATTTTATTTCCAATGGCAAACCTATAGGGCTAGCTATACCACACTGCACTTCATTAAAATAGGCAAAAGGAGAAGAGCTTTAATTTGAAGATGTCACGGGCATTAATAGAATCCAGAAAAATAAATGAAGTCTTAAAGCCCAAAGTTTAGTTCATGAGCCGCATTAGTTGACTGTGCAAACAGGAGTATAATGAATTGCAATGCCTCATAAAACAGTATAATACCTTATGTTGAAAGTGCTCCACATGTTCATACCTTTCATTTCCCATCTCTATAATCAACACCACCACCCTTTTAATCATAAAAGCCACCAATTAACGATGGTAACAATCAAGATTTTACTACATCAAAATTAAGACAGATATCAATAAATTTATGAAGCAAGAGTGGAATCTTCTTTGCAGGATCAAAACATCTAGGATCAATATCTGCTTTGCATGACCCTACAAAAAACTATACATTTCTTTTCTTTTTCTTATATAAAGAAAAAGTAAGGATCTAATGTCAATTCATGCGATGAAGGGGGAAAAAAACTAAACTTAGAAGGTGAATTGAATAATGAAAACATTAGTTTAAAATAAGTGAAATTCCACATCATTATTGACAGGCTGGCCAACTATACTCCTCCCCAACCCTTATAAGAGGATCCAAAAGAAACCATTCTCCAAAACTCTCTCTCTTTCTTTCTCTCTCAATCATCCTTTGTTCTCTCTTCTCCTCTGAGGCGTGGAATTCGGCTTTCATTACTGTCTCTCTCTAAACCATCAAGCACTCATCAACACCCATGTCTCCTACTTTCTTTCTTCCTCTTTCCTCTTATGTCCTCACACACACTATTTGTTTTGGAAATATAGCCATGCCCTTGTCCTTTCTCACAATCATTTCCTTCTCCTCATGATTCCCCTCTACTAGAGCTTTTCCACAGTACTACTATTTGAAGCAGACAACAAAGGCCAAGTAATTGATACCATTACCACCCAAAATCCCCTGTTTCACCCCCTCTCTGTTTTCCTCTCTGTTCTCTATAAAAACACAGAATGGACAAGTGGGACAACAAACCCTCAAGGAAACAGCACCACAGAGAAAACCCTTCTTTCTCTTCCACTCTCTTAGACGTTATCTACCGTTCCATCGACGAAGATCCAAAGTTGGAGAAGGAGGAAGAGCAACTCATCTTCTACAGAGAAACCATGAGGAAGCAGAAACAGAGCAACTCTGAAGCAGAGAAACACAACTCTCGCAGGGCCAGGAAGGTGGAGAGTTGGATGGAGAAGAGAACCAGCGAGAAAGTCTTAATGGGAAGGAACTCTTTGACGGAATTTGAGAGAAGAACGCGAAGTAATTCAATTTCGAACACACTCTCCATGCATTCGAGCTCAACCTCCTCTGAGTCAAGCTCTGCTGGGGGGTTCTCTTCTTCAGAGTCAGAGTCCTTCTATGGAGTGCAAAGGCCAAAGCCAATTAAAACCAGCGTCTATGACAAAACCAAAACCAAAACCAACTTTGATGCTGCACTTCACAACCACAACCACAACCACAGCTACAGGAGCCACTCTTCCCAAACCCAAAAGCCAAAACATGAGAATGGTTTTGGGAAGACAAAGTCCAAGGCCTTGAAAATCCTATATGGTGAGTTGAAGAAAGCAAAGCAACCAATTTCACCAGGCGCAAGGCTTGCTAGCTTTCTCAACTCTCTCTTCACTTCAAGTGGAAGTGCCAAAAAAGCAAAGGTCTCAACAACAACATCAACTTGTCATCCCGTCCTGATCCCGATTGCAACAGATCGTGCCGCTGCTGATGCTAAATTAGCATCAGCAACAGCACAACCTTCTTCTACATGTTCATCAGCATCTTCTTTTTCAAGGTCTTGTTTAAGCAAAACACCTTCTTCAAGATCAGGTGCAAAGAGATCAGTGAGGTTTTGCCCTGTGAGTGTGATAGTGGATGAAGATTGTAGGCCTTGTGGACACAAGAATCTTCATGAGGGTGAAGACAATTTGATGGCTTCCAATGGAAGGAACAGAAGTGAGGAGCTTAGGTTGCATGTCATGCAGGAGAGTCGCAAGGTGGAGGAGTTGGCAAGAGATTTGTTGAAGGAGTATCAGAAAAAGAATGAAGTGGAGTTTGATGATGTCATGCATTATGAAGATGAAGAAGAAGATGATGATGATGTGGCAAGTTGTTCAAGTTCTGATCTCTTTGAGTTGGATAATCTATCAGCAATTGGGATTGAGAGGTATAGGGAAGAGTTGCCTGTGTATGAAACTACCCATTTCAATACCAATAGAGCCATTGCAAATGGCTTCATTATGTAATTTTGAGGGAAAAAAAAGTGGGGTTACTTTTTAATTAGAATTTAATGGTGTGGGGGTTTACATCAGATAATAAGATTTCTCCTTTTTTTTTGGGTTCTTCAATCTAATTCTTTTCTTGTCTTTCTCTATTATGTTATTTTTAGTGTTCTTCATGGTGTTGTGTTTGGTTTGGTTGTGTGGTTAAAGAGTTTACCTCATGCAATATCATTGAGCAAGAGAGGGTAACATTTGATGAGGATGTTTTCACGAGAAATGGGGAAAAGGGTGAAAAAGCAATTAAAGAAGGGGAAGAAGATGAAGATGAAGTTGAAAGCAAAGGCAGAATTTCTACACTTATTCATGGCAAGAGAAAAGAGGGCTTTTGCTTTCTCTCCAATGTGTGGGGGCCTCTTTTGCTTGAAATTAACACTATCTTCATGCATCTCATATGCGTGGGAGCAATAGTCAAAAAGTGGCTATGTTAATCTAATTAGCATGGATCCTTTCTTTTGATTCTCTTTTAAAATTTCAAAATTTAATTTAGTTAATCATCTAAAACGATTCTCTCTCTCTTTTTTTTTGTTGGTAAAATTACTTGGTGGAAATTTTCACCAGATACATGTGTTAATTTTGGAGGCAGCAAAAAAGAGGTCAAATGATGGGTTTAATGGAAAAGAAGGGGTAGAGATATAAGGTATGGTCTCCAAAGATGAGGACAAAATATCTCTTCTTGGATTCTCTAAAACCTTGATGTCAAATTGGTTGGCTTCTAAGCCAAGAGCTTGTCTTTGAATTATTTCAAAGGCTAATGCAAACCACTGAATGATGCTAATTATCTCTTACCTTCAACCCCAAATCACTCCAATATCTCAAACTCCTTTCTCTATGTTTTTCTCTTGTTTCTTTCATGTTTCTCTTTGGCTTTTTCAAATTTTTTGTCTCATCCTCTTCAATGAAATGGATCTCAAGCCAAATTTAATCTTTTCCCCTTTAATGTTCCATGCTCATCATAGATATTCTTTAGTTTCCATGTCAAAAAGACTACGTAAAATACAAATACTATTATGAAATGGAAAAAAAGAAAAAAAATCGACTTTATGGGGATTCTCACACAGGAACCTTCATATTCGGAGTCTAAAATTGTTATTTACTTTTCTTTTTGTTAATTTTTCTCTAACCTTGTTCTTCTGCAATCAAACATTGTGACATTCTTTCCCTTTTTCTTCTTCTTCTTCTTCTTTTTTGTCCCATATAAAAATTAGTTTATCTCTTCGTTCCTTTATTCTCCAAAATAAATGGGCATAAAGAGCATAAATTTAGAAAACAAAAGAATTAATTAAGTTTATAAAAAGAATTAAGAACATAAACTTTGGAGGACCACTAAATCATAACAGTGTGATATGCTAATTAAGATGATTGGCCTTAACTAACACATTTGTTAAGGCAAAAATCTAGACTTTGAAAGGTAGCTGGCTTGGACTGTAGGAAAAGAAAAGGCTATCCTATGCTTTAAAGTGTCATAGGTGAAGAGTGGCTTTGTAGGGCGTGGACCTGTGATGCCCTAACCGCAAATGACAAAACATTAAGAAATTGATTAGTGAAGGGAATTTGGCATGCAACTGTGTAATAATTAGCTTAAAAAATCACTTTGTAATCTAATAAAAATGATTTGTTTCAAAATTTAAACACCAAAACTGTTACTGTTTTCATGGTTGGTGAAGTGGGGAAGTACAGCAATCATAATATATACCGGATAGTGGGTGTGAAACCACCTACTCTTCCCAGCTCTCACCATTCCTTCCATTTCAAATAATCACACCAATCTTCCTAATTCCCATTAGATTTAATTAACTATTCAACTCTCTTTTTTATTTTCCACCTTTAAATGGAATCAAAACAACCCATTTGATCTATAGGGAGTTTTATCAAGTATTATCAGTTTGAAGAAAGGTCCTACTGTTGCTATGATTTTTTATTCTTTTTTAAAGATCACATATATTTTCGACAAGAGATAATATTGTTTGTCCTATAAATATATAAATATTTAATATAGTTATATACACAAAATAAAATAATTTTATAGTAGTCTATTCATGTTTTTTTTATTATGTGTGATGTAGTTTTTCTAAAAGTTAAAACTCAATAAAGTAAATACAAGTACAAGATTTTCTTTTTTCCTTTTTCTTTTTTAGATTATGGTATGCTATTGTGATTTGGGTAAATTATATTGGTTTCATTTGTTGGTAAATTTATAAGAAGTATAAAATTATCATGTTTTTTTTATTGATTAAATTATATTGATACAAACTATTGAGTGTAGGAATCAAGTAACATGTAGTTGTTCTAACTAATAAATTTTGAATATATAATTACATTAAATATTTGATAGTTTTGTCACTATATAATAGTTCTACTAAGTAAAAGTAATATTAAAAAATACTTGCAATAATCTTAAAAAGAATTATAATAGAAAAATAAATAAGTTGGGTTATGAAATTAATTAAATTGGGTGGCAAATAAGAAGGGGAAAAATAGGGAGAAAGCTTAATGAACTAATTACAAACGGTAAAACGGACCAAATATTATATGAAAGAGTATATATATATATATTTGTCTAATGAGTGGTGTGGGTCGAAGCTCATGAACGCTGTACGTAAGTGGACATAATGGTTAGATTCTTTCTTAATTTATTTTCTACTTTAAAAAATTAATGTAAAAAATAGGACCTGTCAAAATGATTAAACTTCTAATATTCTATCTTAGTTTCTTTTATCTCTCATATGTATTGTATATCTTATGTCTGGTTCTTTCATTGCATTACTTTAAGATCTTATCATCATGTTCAATATTTAGGGGTTGGATTTTGTCATGGTACACATCAACAATCAAAATCGTTATTATGGTGATATTAACTCTTTCATCAAGAAAAAAGGCTCTTGTAAATCATAAAAGTAGCAAAACAATTAAATCAAATATTATTTTGAATGTAGTTGATACTATACAGAACAGTGAAGAGAAAATGAAAACAAATACAATTTAATCATTTAGTGGTAGTTTGGCACGCGAAAGAGGGAAAAAGCAAAGGAAATCCTGATCAAATCCATATCCAAAACCCTAAAACAACAGGGAAATAAATTAAAAGAGGATTTGCAGATTTGGGAGGGGAGGGAAAAAAAAAGGTTGAAAAGAAAAGGCTTCTAAAAGAACAGAATCGTTATTTCAATAGATTTCATCTTTTACTTTTAATTTTTTTTTATAATCTTTGGTAAAAAATTAGTGAAAATTAATAGCTTTTAACTATTTATACTCCTTCTATCTTTAAATCATTACTTCTTCTATAAACCTAGTTTAGTTAGATGAATAAAGTACGTTAGTTGCTGTAAAGTTATTAGTATTGAGTTAGATTTTCAAAAAAAGAAAACCATTTCTTCTAGTATAAGAATCAATTTTTAATTAATAAAGAATACTTCTGCTTTGAGGTTGTATAGAAATTTTATATTTCTGCAATGTTAAAATATGTTTGGTGAAAAAAATTCAACTCTTATAATCGATTTTAAGACATTGTGTGAATATGAATCAAATTAACAATGAATATGATAACAATTAAGATATATAGAAATTTAATTCAAATAATGAATACAACAACAATTTTATTTAAGAATTTTGTGTAAAAAATATTAAGAATATCTGACGAATATTAATCATAATTAGAAGGAAAAAAAATATTATTGATAAAATACATACTTATCTTTATATTTAATTTTTTTCAATAATAAAAAAATAAATATCTTATATGATAGATATTTTTTTCTCAAATTAATTAAATTATTATAAGAAAAAAAGTATTTTGCTCAAATATTTAAAAGATGATCATCTTTGTATCGGTTGATTTATACGTTTGGTACACTTTTATTTATTTTGTATTATTTAACATTTTCTTCCACTTATTATTTAAACTAATTAATATAGGAACGAGTGATACAATTACTATCTATTTACACTAGCTACAACAGTAACAACAGATTTTCAACTAATTACCCATATATATAGGAAAGGAGAAAGAATATATTTAGATAGCTAAAATAGTTGAAGAAAAAAAATCTGAATTTCGTAATGAAAAATAGTGAAAAGCATTAATGAATGTTAATTGTCTTTGAAATTAAGCAGTATCCTTATTAATGTTATTAATTAGACAATAATTAAGTCCATGAAGAGAGAAAAGTAATCAGCAAAGAATTACGTTATTATTTTTCTGTTAATATATAATGCTTGCAAATGAAATTAATTATTTTTCTTTTTTGTTCGTTCCTGGAGTAAGGTAGGATAGCTGACCTCAAAATTTAACGCGGCTGCATACATAAGGCAAGATTCAAATCCCTGACTTTATTTAAAGATGGATCAATCCCTACCGCTGAACCACGTGCTTGGAATTACATTTGAGAAATTATAACAGTAATTTAATTATAAATAAGATTGGGAATGGGTATTAGATTTTTGACAATAAATTTGTGAGAGATAAGAAATTCAAAACTCGTAACAAAACAATCATAATAAAATGTCACACTTTTAATAAATTAATATAAGTGAAACTTATCAATGATGTAAGGGGATTCTTTACACTTAGTGGTCAATCCATATCGTATCCACCGCCCTTGTTAACATCATATTAAAGGTTACGTTGGATTGTTTAAATTAAATATAATGCTTTTAAATACTTTTATAATATTTTAATACTCCTAAACATAATTGCCAGTAATTTCTATCACATAGTTAAATATTTGTCTTTTAAATCTTAAAATATGAAATAAATTATATTAAAAAAAGAATATTTGTTTTATATATATTCACAAATTAAAAGATTTAATAATTATTACTTTTAATAGTACTAAAAACTTTATATTAACATAATGGTTAAAAAAAATTATAATTAACACACTTTTTTTTCATTATATTATTAGTATGAAATATCATATAATTTCATTGATTAATAATTTCATTCAAATAATGTAATAACTGACGAGTCTAAGAATATCTTTCTCAATTACATTTATTTCATTTATAGAATTTGAATTCAAGACATTAATTACTAGAATCATCATTTCATTTTAATAAAAAAAATTAAA